CTTCCCAAGCTGATGAGGAGACAATTAGGTAGAAGGGAGGAATCAAGTTAATTGCCTGTCATCCCTTTCTACTCTCTGTATTGATTCAAATTAAGCGTTTTCCGTTTTCTAGTGTCAGGAGAAACTGAAGGATCAGAGCCTGGGTCTGGTAGTCAGGACCTCCAGGAAACAGCCAGTTCTAAGTGAATCCTTTAACCTTTCACCTCTCTGCTTAGTTCTAACCCCAGCATTCAGGAAAACAAATCTTTTTGGCTGACCTCCCTTGGTTTCTAACCTGAAGTCTCAGAACTGCCTTAATTGTAATGATTTCTGATTTCATATCCATTCAACTAGCCACTCCTCTTCTTTCAGAGAAAAGAGCGAGGAATCCAAATTAAATTTCGCGTTTGTTGAAATTCAGTGTAGCTCAGAGTGAAGTAGTTAAATAAATCAGCAGTGGATGTTCTGTGGTGTGCATTATCCGCACGAAGGGCAGAGGCGGCGAGATCAAGAGGTCATTTGAAAAAGTATCACCGTCAGCTCAGCTGCCATCTGAGCAGGGCTGGAGGTGGTCTTTAAAAATGAGGGTCTTTCCTCTCCCAGCCTCTCCTTGGGGCCTGTTCTCTACAGCCAGATGGAATTACTTAAAATTTCTTTCATATTCCTTGCTTATCTTCAGCTTTTCAGGGGTTTACTCTGCTGGAAACACCCTTCCTATATTTTCTAATTACTTCTCAATCCTGGCAATACTTGTCCAGGAAGTCTTCTCAGGGATTAATACAAGGCTTCCAAACACCACAGTTCCTCTTTATTGTAGGCAACAAACAGGCCCTTCACTACACACTTACATGCTCCCTCTATGTTGGACTGGGGACAGGGACTGTCTTCCTTGATGGAATTCTCCAGCGCAATGCCCAGCACATGGAAAGTCACTAGTCAATACTGACTGATTTAACAAATGAGTAATGGATGGAGTATTAGAGGATGGTGTCCTGGGAGAAGGAAATATTTACATAAGGTCTAGGGTAGAATATTGATTGTGATCTATTTTGATTTCCATATTACTTGCATTTTACTCAAATAGTGTGAGTGTCTATGAGGCTTCTTTGGGAGTCAGAACAGATTCGTCCCAAGAACTCTGCTCTGCATCATTTAGGCCAGTATCTCTTCTGGGATTTTTGGCTCTGAAAGTGGAGTGCTGAGATTAAGTGCTCTGGTTCATGGTAGGAACTGTAGAGGTAGAGGAGATGGAATGAAGAAGAGGCTGAAGTAATAGCTTGGAAGATGTGTTTGGGATTTCTCTGGGAAGCTCTTTCTGGATCAGAAGAAAGTTCCAGGAAGGGTTGTCTAGGATTAAAGAGAATAGACATTATCCAGGCAAGAGGTGCCTCTCAGTTTAGTGGTAGAGGTGACAATATGAAATTTCACTTTGCATATGAGAGGAGTTGTGTAGTTTTTATGGGGCTCTTGGGAGTGTGGCAAATAGAAAGGGCACTGAACTAGGATTAAGCACATATGAGCACTCCTCTGTCATTTACCAACGAGGAGAAAACAGTTCTGGGCCTCAGTTCCATTTTCTATAAATGAAGAAGTGGGTACCAAATACCCTCTACAAACTGTCCCATGATTCTGCAAAAACAGACATGGATTTCCCATGTACTGTTTTAGAAGTTAGACCTTGTAGGAGAGTGAGGTCAGTTTTAGGCTGGGTTCTTAGGGAAGTTCTTAGTGTAAGTGGGTAGGGCAGGGTGAGACTCACCTAGCAATTGTTCTGCCTTTCTTCCCATACCTTTTTCTCCCTCCCCTTTGACTATCTGCACGGAGGCTAATTGCCTGGGCTTAGTAATCAGAGAGATGTTCATTTGAATCCCCATCTGCCACTTAAACTGTGTGTGACCTAAGGCAAATTTCTTAACCTCCTTCTGCCTCAGTTTCCTCATTTATAAAATGGAGTTTATCTTCCCTAAGTTTCTCATAGGGGTTGAATACGTGATGTAAAGAAAGGATACAAAATATTTGCTATTCTTCTTGACAGATATACAGATGTTCCTTATGCTTTTAGAATACTGTTTTCTTATTTTTTTCTTTTTTTGAGGCAAGGTCTTGATCTGTTGCCCAGGCAGGGGTGCAGTAGTGCAATCATAGCTCATTGCAACTATAGAGACTATAGCCCCAGTGGGACTATAGGTGTGTATATTATGCTTGGCTAATTTTCTCATTTTTTAGAGATGGGGTTTCACTATGTTGCCCAGGCTGTAGAATCTGATTTCAACATGAAATTCTATGATCTTTTACTCTATCATCTCACCTGTTTTCTGTTTATTTTGCATAGAAAAATATAGGAATCACTTTTTATGTTTGTAGACTTTAGTTGTCTGAATACCCTGCTTTGCTTGCATCATATCCCTATTGACCTAGATGATACGAGGCTAAAGAACTGGGGAGAAACTGAATTTTCTCAGTGTGTTACAATATAAACATTATTATAGAAAAATTTTAAATGCTGGCATTAAAAGCATTCAAGAGTTTCAGTTGTGTCCATACAATAGAATTTATTGAAGTTTAGAATATTATTTCATAAATTATCTATATTTTTATCACAATTCTTCAAACAATAAAAGATAGCTTTCTGTGGGTGAGAAGGTAAATGGTGAGAATATTCAAATTCTTTATAAATGCAATTTTGAATGACATTTACAAATTATTTTTATGATACCTTTAAACTTAGTTGTTGGAATGGTTACATGTAAAATCCATCCTAGGACTTTATAAAGACTGTTCATGTGATAGCTTTGGACAGACACCCTGCCTGGTACTCTCAGTTCTGAGGTGTCCTGGCAGCCTTGGCAATTGCCTGCCACCTTTAGACAAATAAATAGGCCAATGTAGGAACAGGCAGCGAGCTCCTTGGGGACAGGAGCTTTCTTACTTATTCTTACATAACCAGAATCTGAGAAAGTGACTGGCCCTTTGCAGTTACAACTTTTGAGTTTCGGGATCTGAAAGTACCGTCGTGCATTACTTAATAATGCTAGGGATGCATTCTGAGAAATGTGTCACTAGGTAATTTCATCATTGTGCAAACATCAGTGAGTGTACTAACCTAGGTGGTGCAGCCTACTACACACCTTGGCTGTATGATGTAACCTATTGCCCCTAAGCTACAAACCTGGACAGCACATTACTGTACTGAATACTGTAGGCAACTGTAACACAGTGGTGAGTGTATCTAAACATACCTCAACACAGAAAAGGTATACTGAAAATAAAGTATAAAAGATAAAAATGGCACAATTGTATAGGGCACTTACACAAATAGGGCTTGCAGGATTGAAAGGTGCTCTGGGGGTGAGTCACCAAGTGGTGGGTGAATGCAAAGGCCTAGGGCATTACTGTACACTGTCATACACTTTGTAAACAGTATCTACTTAGGCTGTACTGAATTTATTAATTTTTTCTTTATCCAACTATACATTAATCATAGCTTACTGTAACTTTTTTACTTTATAAACTTTTTAATTTTTTTAACTTCTTGACATTTTTGTAATAGCAGCTTAAACCCCAAACACATTGTACAGCTGTACAAAAATATTTTCTTTATATCCTTATTGCATACGCTTTTTTCTATTTAACATTTTTATTTTTAAACTTTTTTTTTTGTTGTTGTTAAAAACTAAGACATTAATGATCACATTAGCCTAGGCCTACACAGGGTCAGGGTCATCAATATCACTGTCTTCCATCTCTATATCTTGTCCTACTGGAAGGTCTTCAGGGCCAAGAACACGCATGGGGCTGTCACCTCTTGTGATGTCAATGCCTTTTTCTGGAATACCTCCTGAAGAAATTGCCTGAGGCTGTTTTACAGTTAACTTTTTTTAATAAGTAGAAGGAATAAAAAAATGAAATAAAAATAAAGAGTATAGTAAATACATAAACCAGTAACATAGTCATTTATTATCAAGTATTATGTTCTTTACATGATTGTACACATTTATAAGACCAGCATTGCAGTAGATTTGTTTACACAGACATCACCACAGACAGTGAGTAATGTATTGTTTTATAACATTACAATGGTTATGACATCACTAGATGGTAATATGAAATTTACCATATCTTTTATACTCTTATGGGACCGGCATGGTGTATGTGGTCTGTCATTGACCAAAGTATCATTACGTGGTGCATGACTATATTGGGTCTCTGTTCAGCAAAAAATGAGGAAGCCCTCAGTAGGAAAACCTTATAGTGTTATGAAAGGCATATCAATGATGTGTTCTGAATGGTAAGTTCAACAATGATACACTGGGGACTGTCATCCCTTCTTTAGTTAGTATCCCCATCTTGAATGACCCTGGAAGTTGAAATTCTCAGACTGCCTCAAAAGAATAAGGGATTGGGATGAAAGGGACTTCTTAGCTAGACCTAAAAGAAAAGGGTAGGAAGGTTTGAAACAAAGTTCTGGTCCCAATGTGGGACAGTGTTCCCCTGGGGCCAAGGCATTCACCTCATCAAATGTAGCCAGTTAGATTCTACAGTGAGGTAGAAGTTTTCGCCTTGCCATTTATATTTCCAGCTACAGTGAAGAAAAGTAATGACCAAGAGGGAACTGGCCCATGAAAGTACAAGGTCAGCCTGACAGTTAGACATTTGAAGGTAGAACCATTAGTTGTTCTGTAAGATGGTTTACTGGCTGAAACTTCAAGGATCCCTGGCAAATTGAGAATGATGAGATCTGTTCATTTTTCCTTCACCATAATGAATCACACTCCCAATGACAATTTTGTGTGAGTCACGTTTCATCAGCTCCTTTCTGAATTATTGCTTATCACTTAGTGGCTCCCCAACTATTTGGAGATTGTCATAATAAAGTCAGATTTTAGCTGGGGAGGTAGAACATTTTATTTTGGAAGAAGCATTTGGTTACATCAGCCACTCAGGAACATCCTGGCTCCCAGAATCTTCTTCCTAGCACATACCAGAGGACATCACACAGTCTTTTGGAGCACACCCTGGCCAGAGGCCCCACAGGATGGCAGGTAGAAATGGGGTACAGGCAGTATTTACTCCTTTCCTCTTTCAGCAAGACAGGATCTTGAGAAAAGCTTTGCGAAACTCGACATTGAAGGTGGTATAGATCACCGGGTTGAGAGCGCTGTTCACATAGCCGAGCCATGTTGTGGCACTGTATAGCTCTGGGGACACGTGGCATGCTTGACAGTGGGTATTGAGAATGTGAATCAAGAAGAAGGGCAGCCAGCAGACAATGAAAGCACCTAGGTTGCAAAGGAGGAGAGTAACCAGGTAAGGGATTTGCTTACTCGTTTTGTTATGACATGAAAATGACTCATGGTTGTCTAGTTGGAGTCAGCCACTATGTTGGAAGTTTTTCATACCCATTTACTTTTTATAACAATCCTGTGAAGTAGGTGTGATGAGAAAATTGCCTGTTAATGTCTCTGCCTTCCCTTAGGACTTTGTTACTAAACCAGTCTTCCAGTTTGGTCTTTGGGTAGTTTTTTACTAGTTGTTTTTTCCCCCCCAATTCAATTAAGACTTTTACTTAATGTCTACCCATGCAAGACATGATCCTAGGCACTGATAGGGAAGCAGACCTTAAAGACGTGACTGACTTA